CGTGCCGCCTCTTCGAAAATGCCACAACACCACCCCGCATGTATGAGGGCCCGCTACGACGCTCCGGTGGCATTGCTACCCCCCAGGGCCCCCGTCCCGCTTAACCCTGGAGCGCTTGACCACGAGATCTAGCCTTCTGACTTCCCACGGACGGGCTTTGACCAGTGGACCTCTCCACCTGGTTGTGTTAGGTCGGCCCAGAGGGACACCCGGGAGCAACATCCGGGCAAAAACCACAGCTACATCCACTCCGTGTAGACCCGACGCGTCCGTTTCCCCCCTCCAGGTGCCGGCGGCGGCGCCGTCCATGAGGGGGGGCACACCGCGGATGTGAGGGGGGTCACTCTCTGGAGACGAGTGTCGGGCGTTTGCAACTGCCACAAAACTTCTGTCGGCATAGTTGTTTTTGATTTTAATAAAATATAAGGATCTATATTTAAAAGAACATGACCGCACATTATTAACGTGCTCGAAAAAATACAAACTATATATATATATATATTCATAATATATGAAAAAATACAAACTACATATATATTTATATGTACGTTTATATTTAACATGCTACATGTTAGTTGATATAATAATACACAAAAAGCATTAAAAAATATGGACGGAAAAAAATCTAACTATGCCGACGGCCTAGCCGTCGGCATAGATCCGACCAGCGTGCCGCGGATCACTGACGTGGCAGATATGCCGACGGCAGCCGTCGGCATAGCCTCTGCATGGTGCGGCCTGGATCAATGACTTGGCCTGCGGACCTATGCCGACGGCCCCCCGTCTAGGCCGTCGGCATAGCTCTGACGCCGTTTGCCAGGGGGTGGCCGGGCCCCACGTGTATGCCGACGGCCTTCGTAAGCCGACGGTAGCTGTCGGCGTATATGTAGCTAGGCCGACGGCCGTTCTATGCCGACGGGTGCCGTCGGCTTATCTCTGCGTAGCCCGACGGCCTTTGTACGCCGACGGCCAGAACCAGGCTGTCGGCATATCTCCGGAGAAGCCGACGGGGGCCGTCGGGGTATGGCCCTGTTCCGGTAGTGAGTTCAGCATAAGGCATTTCAATGGTCAGATATGGCTGCACGTAGTGAGCTAACTCCAAAGGGGAGACGTCCATCTTTTTTCTTCAAAACAAGAATTATCTGAAAGAAGCCGATAAAAGACAACTGCCGATCTCATTCGATTGGAGCGCGCAGCCGCGCATGAATCCATCCTAGAGGCATTTAGGAGCCGTTACTGTTTGTACCATCTATATAGGGCAGCACCATCAGATCCTGATCTATCAAGTACCACAAGCTCATCTGCCAATTCACAAACCTGGAAACCCACCCTGAAGCAAACAAGTCCCAGCTAAGAAGGTGCTCAAATGGCGTCCCAGCTAAGAAGGTGCTCAAATGGCGTCCCAGCTGGTTGAGAGCCACCGTGCCGGCACCGAGGTCCACAAGGGGAACGATATCTGAAAGAAGAAGACCGTCGAGCTTCTCGAAGAGCTTGGCCTCCCGAAAGGCCTATTTCTTATGGATGACATCGAGGAGGTTAGGCACAACTGTGAGAGTGGGTTTGTGTGGATGCTTCAGAAGAAGAAGAACGAGCACATGTTCAACAAGCTCAACCAGACCGTCTCCTACGATACTGAGGTGACCGCTTTTGTGGAGAAGGGCAAGATGAAGAAGGTCACCGGGGTCAAGATCGAGGACCTGTACTCTTTGGTCGAGGTCTATGTGGATGAGTCTTCTGCTGATAAAGTTACCATCAAGACCGACACCGGTCTGTCTGACACCCGTGATGCGGCCGTGTTCGCTCTTGGGGAATAGGATGCTACTAGTTGAAAAGGCCAGAAAAATAAAGTCAGTGAATGGTTCGGCACTGCAGTTCACATGTTATGCACAAGTATATGTTTCCGTTTTCTTTGTAATCTAATAAAGGGTGTTGCATGAATGTTGCTTCCTTTCAGCCCATGTTATGCAGAAATTTATGTTTCCGTTTTCTTTGTAATGTATAGAGGATGTTGCATGAATGTTGCTTCCTTTCAGCGTGTAAGCGTTCGTCAAATGTAATGAGTAACGCTTATACCGCCTCCTATATCCCACATCGACCACTCTCAACTTCCCACTGTTGTCCCTATCTTTGTGTGTCAGAGAATGAGGGCCTTATCAACCAATAATTAAGCAAGGCTTAAAAATACAACATGAACCATGACATGCGCAGAAGAATTCTAATTTTGATTCTCGGTATCTGGATTTTCATGTTGATTTTAACATTTCATAATTTTTATATGTATGTTATATCAGTTTCTCAAAATAACAAGGAAATCGATAGCGAGGCTTGGATGGAAATATTATGGAATAATTTCCTGTTTTGTTGATTTTAATTTTCTCACTAATATCAAATCATCGGAGTTTATTTCCACATTTATGGTTCAGATCGATGTGAAAAACATTTTTTTTCTTTGGTAAATATTTTTATGTGAAAACAAGTTCTTGTCTTGATTTTGTTTTCTTATGTTGAAAGATTGCTGAGAAAATGCAAAGTAAAAAAGAGGACAAAGGCAGAAACTAAAGCAAGCCAAAACTACAAATTTAAGAACTGATAAAAGAGAATGACAAAACCAACACAGAGCAAAACTCCTACTGCTATGGTTGAGGATTAGATTATTTTCTAATTCTAACTTCAGGTTGATGTGAAAATAAGTTGCTCAGGACATTTTTAATGTCCCACCATTACATCTCTAAGGGTTTGGTTGCAGACAACATAAAACGGAAAGAACTCATCATGCCACAACCCTCTACTCAGTTGAGAACGGGAAGGGTTAGATATTAGTTAGTTTGAGGCTAAGTATGTGACTGTTGAAATGCAAAATTATCTTACAATTTGATGTGGAAAATACCTATAAATTGCTAAACTATGGAATTTTTTAATTTAGTGAGGAAAAACAGCCATGAAATATATAAAAGTAAGCTATTCCATACATTAAATAGGCAAAAATAATTTGGTGAATGGAACTACCAAAATCTATGACGATGTCAAGCTACTCTATTCTTTAATAGCATTTTTAACGAGGCAGAAGACTTATTAATTAATTAAGAAGAGAGTGAGAAGTGCCGCTTGACTAACAAGAAACTGGGTTAAAAGCGATACAACCTAACCCACATAACATGAGCACCAGCGACCCGACCTGGCCACTCACAAAGAGACCATGGATGATGGTTACAACAGAATATTGGAGAGGTACATGTCCACGTGACTTTAACACTGAACCTGTTGTTGGACGCTTGCTATAGACATGCTAGGGATCAACTCCTCATGCTTTGGCGACCATGGTAGTTCACCAGATGAGACAAAAGGCTTAGGGTTTTTCCGCCTCCCGCCAGCGTCGCCCCGTCTCCAATGGCCCTAGAGCCATTTGAGAGCGGTGGATCCCGGTCCTTGCCGGCGCGGGGGAGGGCAGGGGGCGCTTTTAGTTGTTTCTTGTAGTTTTCTTAGGGTTTGTGTCCTGCTCAGGAAGGCGAGCCGGTGGTGGCATCCTGAAGATGGAATAAAAGTTTCCCCGCCTAGCCCCATCCCGGCATCGTCGATGGGTGTGTTGAAGTGTGTCTCCGGCGGATCTGTCTTGGTGGATCTGGTCGTCGTTCGTCTACGTTCGTGTGTTTTCAGATTGGATCCTTCTGATCTACGCTAATCTTAATTTGCGGCGGTTGCAGTTCTGGTGCGCTGGTCCTATGATGCCTTAACACGAAGACTTTTCAATTGTCTACTACAACAAATTTTACCCGTCTCCGGAGAGGGAGGGCGATGACGGTGGCGCCTTAGACTCGGTTCAGTGTTTGTAGTCGTTGCTAGGTGGTCTACGGATCTGGATATATTTTTATTTATTTCTTATGTTCGTTGTACTGTCATGATTGAAAATGATTAGATCGTCAGTTTTCCCGGAAAAAGAAATATTGCGAATAATTTCTTAGTTTACGTGAAAACAAGGTCAGCGTTCCGTGAATTGCTTTGCCCACAAAGCTTGTAGTCTAAGTGCAAAGGGAACAGATTTATTTATTTTTTGACTCGGGAACTGATTTTTTGTATCTCCCGAGGCCACCAACTTATGCTTCTTTCTTTTAAGAATCTCGAACGAGTGTGCTTTATGGAGCCCGGCTTCTTGGATAAGATCACATGGACTTCTTCTACACCAATATACGCAATGGTCAATTTAGTCATCCTTGACCAGTTCAGCATAAGGCATTTCAATGGTCAGATATGGCTGGACGTAGTGAGCTAACTCCAAAGGGGAGACGTCCATTTTTTTTCTTCAAAACAAGAATTATCTGAAAGAAGTCCATAAAAGACAACTGCCGATCTCATTCGATTGGCGTGCGCAGCCGCGCATGAATCCATCCTAGAGGCATTTAGGAGCCGTTACAGTTTGTACCATCTATATAAGGCAGCACCATCAGATCCTGATCTATCAAGTACCACAAGCTCATCTGCCAATTCACAAACCTAGAAACCCACCCTGAAGCAAACAAGTCCCAGTAAGAAGGTGCTCAAATGGCGTCCCAGCTGGTCGAGAGCCACCGTGCCGGTGCCGAGGTCCACAAGGCGAACGATATCTGCAAGAAGAAGACCGTCGAGCTTCTCGAAGAGGTTGGCCTCCCGAAAGGCCTCTTTCCTATGGATAACATCGAGGAGGTCGGGCACAACTGTGAGAGTGGGTTTGTGTGGATGCTTCAGAAGAAGAATAACGAGCACATGTTCAACAATCTCAACCAGACCGTCTCCTACGACACTGAGGTGACCGCTTTTGTGGAGAAGGTCACCGGGGTCAAGATCGAGGACCTGTACTCTTTGGTCGAGGTCTATGTATATGAGTCTTCTACTGATAAGGTCACCATCAATACCGACACCGGTCTGTCTAACACCCATGATGTGGGCGTGTTCGCTCTCGGAGAATAGGGAGCTACTAGTTAAGAAGGCCAGAAGAATAAAGTCAGTGAATGGTTTGGCACTACAGTTCACATGTTATGCAGAAGTATATGTTTCCGTTTTCTTTGTAATCCAATAAAGGATGTTGCATGAATGTTGCTTCCTTTCAGCCCATGTTATGCAGAAATTTATCTTTCCGTTTTCTTTGTAATGTAATAGAGGATGTTGTATGAATGTTGCTTCCTTTCAGCCCGTAAGTGTTCGCCAAATGTAATGAATAACACTTATACCGCCTTCTATATCCCACGTTGACCACTCTCAACTTCCCACTGATGTCCCTATCTTTGTGAGTGAGAGAATAAGGGCCTTATCAACCAATAATTAAGCAAGGCTTGGCGGATCCTAATTCTGGCAGTCAATCATGCAATTATTACCAGTCCTTCGGATCGGCTCCTCGATCTCAGTGGGGACGGATACCAACACCATGTTTTGGCTAGATTGGTGGTCGGGTGATAGACAGTTCGCAGAACGGTTCTATGCGCTATTTAGTATTTGCACTTGCCTACAACTCACGGTGAGTGTGGCCTTAGAGGAGTTTGGGAGCATCGCCTTCCGACGCACTTTTGGCCCGCTTGAACAGGACAAATGGGAGGAGTTGCTTGAATGCATAGCCCTCCATGCCCCCTCCCTTGAGGAGGACGCGATCTCATGGACATTTGAACGAAGTGGGAGGTTCTCGGCCAAGTCCTTATATCACGCTCTATTGGCCTCGCTAGGTCCGAACGAGTTAACTCTCCTTTGGGAGATTAAATTTCCATTGAAGATCCGCATCTTCCTCTGGGAATGGGTGTGCGGCCGCCTCCCTTCAGGCACATAGGTTCTCAAACACAATGGCCCGGGGGATGGGCTATGCCCCTTATGCGGAGTACTTGAGGACTCCAACCACATATTCTTCCGCTGCCCGGCAGCGATCTTTCTTTGAAGTTGCCTCCGGGATGTTGTCGGTGGCAATTGGTGTGCCATGATAACCTCCCGGACATGTTCCAGGAAATCCTCAGCCGGCCATCCAGGTTACGCCCTCCCTTTGGGTGGTGATGTGCTCTCTCACTTGGACCTTATGGATTGTGCACAATAAACTAGTGATTGAGCATGTGATTCCGACTCGTGCGACTGACGCGATATTTAAACGGTGTGGTTTCTTATAGCTCTGGAGACTCCTTAGCAAGCGGAGTGACCGGGACAATCTTGACATGATCATTGCGAGTCTTCATTCCACCGCCACATCCATCGCGCCGCCACCTCCCCTCCTCCGCCTGAGCCAGATTAGCTAGTTGGCTGCGTCCATTATTGGGGTTTGTTGTGTTGTGCCCCAAGCTGAACCTAGTTGCACTCTTTTCTTTCTTCGCTTTTGCTTTTGGTTGTGCTTGAACCTAGAACTCGTTGTTGTTGTCGGATGTTGTCGGTGCGGTTGCTTTATAATCTAAAGCGGGGGGAAACCCTTTTTCATCAAATGCAACATGAACCATGACATGCACAGAAGAATTCAAATTTTGATCCTCGGTATCCGTATTTTCATGTTTATTTTAACATTTCATAATTTTAGATGTATGTTATATCAGTGCCTCAAAATAGCAAGGAGATCTACAACAAGGCTCGGATGGAAACATTGTGGAATAATTTCCTGTTTTGTTGATTTAATTTTCTCACTAATATCAAATCATCGAGGTTTATTTCCACATTTATGGTTCAGATCACGTGAAAAGAATTTTTTTCTTAGGCACATATTTTTATGCGAAAACAAGTTCTTATCTTTTTTTAGAGAAAAGGCATCGGTCGAGCCCGAGAAAGGGATCGAACCTAGCCCGACTTTGAATTAACAAAGCCATCAACCGGCCAGGATTAC